AGACAGACAGACAGACAGACAGACCGACCGACCGACCGACCGACCGACCGACCTGGGCTGCCTGGGCTGGGCTTTTTTCTCCTCTTTCCCCCCCTCCTATCCTCTCCGGCCCAGTGTGCGCTGTACCGGCGCTGTGCTTGCTCAGGTATTCGGTAGATCGGGGGCGGTGCTGATCCCCCCCCGAGATAGACGCCCGTCCGGCTGCGGGGGCACTCTGCTCCCAGTTATTTATTTCCTTTTATATGCGTGGCCTGAGTCAAAATTTGCCGGAGCCCTCTGGATCGCCCCCTTCCCCCGCTCCAGCAGTCGTTGTTACACTGGTTTTGAGTAAGGAGCTGAAGCGGCAGATGCAGAGACAGGGAATGTCACAGAGCGTGAGTATTATGGGAGTTATTAAATGCTCAGGGTTAAGAGTGGGTAAAAGTAATTTCTGAAGTACTTACATTTCTCCTACATCTCCCTCCGTAGGGCGCATCTAGCTGTGTGTTGTGCCCATGCTGGGTCTGCCCAGCCGCGGTGCCTAGTAATGCCTCTGGGGGGGTTCTTTATGTGCCAGAAATCTGCTTCAGCAAAGCTTTTGCTGGAAAAGCAACTGTTTCTTGTCTAATTTAGACTCTGACCACTGCTGCCCTGAGCTTGTGTCCTTGAGGGGAGTAGCTTGTCTCCTTTTAGACCCTCTGGGAAGTACTTGCTTCTCGTGTGGGGGCTGCCAAAGACTTGCTTTCCCCAGGAAATCCTGGGTTTTAGCCACGGTGTCTTTTGGTGAGCAAAAGAACCAGAATAACTGAAACGCCCTCTTAGTTTGGAGTTAAGCTGAGTGGAAGGGGGTTTAATTACTAAATAAAAACTGTGTGGAATGTGTTGCCTGGGAGCAGCTGCTCTTACGACCTTCCGCGCTGTACCTTTGTCACTGTATAATTAGGAGATGAGTTAAACACTTAATGTCAGCGCTTCTCGGTTTCTACACTGTCATCCTGTTTCTTGATGCCAGCTGGCCCCGACTGGGCAGTGCCATGCCCTGGGACTGGGTCCATGGGTCTTCCAGGGCACAAGGGGCACCCCCAGACCTTCCTGGGTTGGGGATGGCACCTTTTGCTATGAACTTCTGAGAAGTTTCATGCCCAGGCTGTCCTTGGAGATCCCTCACTGGCTGTCAAACTGGGAAGGGCCAGCCTGTGTCTCTTTGAGGTGTAGCTCCCTCTGTCCCCTTAGGTTCGAACTGTGCCCCTGCAGAATCTGAAAGAAAACTATTTGCTGGATTTTGTTGCAAACTGAATGCTGCTTGCATGTCACCCTGGACAAATGCTGGTGTTTGGCAGCCGGGGGGTCACTGGGTGGAGGGGGCTGTGCCATGCACTGCCCTCCCCTCTGCAGTGTGATGCTCCTGCTTGCCATCTATCCTGCCTGAAATTCTGAAATTTTGGGGTGGGACTGAGGGGTTCCTCCTTCCCTGCCTTGCCTCCCTCCTCCTAGCTCTTCTGATTCCCCCTTGGCTGCTGCAACAGGGACCCTCTCAGTGCTTGCTGGTGAGGGCAGCCCCCCCCCAGTGTGTCACTGTGGGGTGACCCTGTCCCCCACAGGCATGCAGGAGGTGGCCGGAGCTCAGCAGGGACCTGCTGGGGAAATCTCTGTGTTCTCCCCACAGACTCGGTGTGTCCTCTGCCAGTGGGTCCCTGTTGCTGATAACCCTTGGACACATTCATAGGGTACTGGTGGGTGCATTTTGGGGGGGACGGGACCTTTGGGTGCCGGCTGGAGGCCCTCAGGAAGCTGTTTCTGGGCACTGAGTGCAGATCAGTCCCACAGGAGGGAAAACTGACCCCTTTTCATGGGCAGCTGCAGTTGTGGGTTTTGTGCTGGGCTGTGGTCAGTCTGTTTTTTTCAGACAGCTCAATTCCTGCCTTGGCCAGAGCATGGGGCTTGGGGGGGCTGAGTGCAGCCCCGGCTGCCAGCAGCCTGGGGCTGGAGGTCCCGTGTGGGAGGGAGTGGAAAAGCAGGGCTGGATGTGGGCAGTGAGGAGGGCTGAAGAGATCTGCACTATGGAGCAGAAATATGCCCTGGCAGAGCTGTCTCTGTGCTAGACCCGTCTCCCAGGAGCTTCCCGAGCATCATCCCCAGGGGATGGAGCTGTGAAGCTGCACAGTGGTAAGTCAGGGCTTACAACGAACCCTGGAACACTTGTGAATGCAGAAACCATCACAGCCTCTTAGCTTAGCTCCCTGTGGTGGAAGAGTAAAGAACAAGATATCATCTTTAATTTCACTTAAATCTGTGAAGGGATGAGCACAAACTGTCTGGAGTGGAAGGGTGCCTTTTTATGGGGTAGAACAGCCCCAAGGGGGGTGTGAGGCCCTGGGGCTGCCCATCTCCTGTCACCTGAACTGGAACCCAGCACGGTGGTATAAAAAAGGAAAAGTCCCAGCTAGTCTGCACTTCAAAAGGGATATGAAATGACATAATAAAAACAAGGGGGAGGAAAAAAAATAGACTCTGGATCACTGTCTAAATAATATATGTCCAAAGACAAATGGGCGTCTTTGCAGTAGACGGCTGTTTAATTTCCTGAATCGGGAGAAGGGCACTTTTTCTGGGCATGGGGTGGAATACTGTCAAATTTTAATTTGGCTTGGCAGTGTCGCACAACCAGTTTGAGCAAGTCGGGGAAGGCAAGTCTGGAACTCATTAGGGCTTGTTGCAAGGCCCTGAAAATTTGATTTTCAATCACTGTTGGGTTTAATTATTGTTGATGTCTTGCCTAGCGTATTATGGGATTCTTTCTGAGGAAATTAAAACAGCATGAGTGGGACAGCATTCTGTTTGGCAAATGGGTTGTTTAGATTAAATTCTAAATGGAGAGTTAAAACTCGAAACAAAGATAAAGCGTGATGGCTGGCATTTCGTGCGTTACTGGAGCTGGTTCAGTTGGACTGTGCAGGCAGCAGGATTTGTGTACTGTTCTCACTAAATTCAGTCCATTTTTGTCAGGAGAAGAGAATAACTCACTAAGCTAAAAGTATGTTGAAAGCCAAGGTAAAGCTTACTCAGTGAATACAAATTTTGGTTCTTTTAACTTTTTCTTCAGTCCTTTAGCATGGGTTTTTGAAAACATCTGAAGCAGATTGTAGGAAAAAACCATTGCTGCTGCTGTGGTAAATCAGCCCCTGTGTATGCAGGGGTCTGGGTGGCTCAGGGTCCAGGGGAAGAAAGAAGCCTCCTGTCTCCGTCAAAGCATCTGGACCCTTGAAGACTCCTCTGCATACATCTACAGATGTGGATGGGAACACTATTAAGGATTGGGAGCTTGCCCTTTGTAAAGCCTAAAAACTTAGAGCTTTTTAAAAACGAGGAACACACTGGAGACTTGGCTTTTCCACGAACTGCCTCCCTTGATGGAGGTGTGCAGGCTCCTTGGGCTGACCCCAGCTGTGTGCTCCCCTTGGCGGATGCCTGGCTTCTTGCAGAGAGACACTCAGCTCCCCAGGGACAGGGGCTATGCCCAGTAGTCTTCTGCAGGACACAGCTGCAAAATCTCAGTTCTGTCCAAACCCACTTTTAAGCAGTTTGGGCAGGCAGTGATGAAGATGGCAAGCACTGTAACGGCAGTGAGCATGCCTGCCCAGCCATCAGGATACTCGTTCAAACGTGCTAGTGCTCGTCTGTGTAAAGGCTGTCAGGAACTGTGCAAGCAATTTCACTTCAGTTTACAGAAACTTGGACCTCATTTTTAACAATTAGACCTCCAAAAGTTATTTATACCTTGCTGACTTTCATGTTCACAATTTCTTGTTATAGCCTTCACTAGCAGAAGCCCGTGGTTTCATTGTGACATTGGTACCCTCCTCTTGACGGACAAGGGGTTCAGTCTCTGGGTTGGTGACGGGTTATATGTAGCTGATGACTTGGGGGTTGACTCTATTGCCTGTGTGTCCTGCTTTGAAAGCTGGTTTGTAGTGGGGACTGAAACCCCTGCTCCAAGAACAGCGTCCTTGCGTTGGAGCCCAAGGGAGGAAGTGCTGCTGCAGCTGTCGCAGGGAAGCAGATGTTGATCTTAATGCAGAAACCTGCTTAGCTCTGACAAGTATTTATAGATATGAAATCATAAAGCAGCACATGGGTTAAAGAGCTTATTTTGGGACTTGGACTCAGAGCTAAATCAAGTCCTATAAAATACAGTTTACAAGTTACAAAATCCCTCTCATCCTGCAGGGAGGCAGTGTCTGGAGTATTTGTTTAGGCTGAGGGTTTTTTTAAAGGAAATACTGTATTTCAGCCATTCAGGAAAAGAGGTATTCAGATGTCCTAGCTTGAAGCTATTGTTCCATTTAAAGATGGAGCTCAGAGAATGGGAAATATTTCAGGACAGCTATTTCCAATTTTTTGGAAGAGCAAGAGTTCCCTAATGCTGGTTAGCAGGCTGACTCCTCATACTTTTACCATCTCACCCACTCTGAACCCTTTGACTTCATCACCTCAGTCACAGAAGGCCTCTGAACTGCCCCAGAGCAGTGATTTCTCTCTGCAGTGGGGGACTCCTTCCTCTTGCTGGATGTTCTGGTTTTGAACTCCCCTGCAGGTCTATGTCTCTGCTTTCCTGAGCCAAAAGCACAGTGTTAAAAGCAGTTGATACAACTGAAATTGAACAGCTTTGACTTCATTGCTGACAGGTAAAGCATCATAAATTGTTAGTGTTTAGCTCACTAGGTGCAGTGTTTCAAACCTGTTCAGCAACGGTTCTTCTGAATCAATCAGAGCGGCAAGGGAAGGGAAAGGAAAGCCTCTTCTTCCTCATCCAAGGGGGTGGGTGACCACAGGGAACTAAAATAGGCACTGGTGAACAGGAGTATGCACTGGCTGACTCGCCTGAAAGTCAAACAGGCCAAATAAAAATGCCAGAGAAATGGAGGAGGATGGCTGAGTAGTAGGAAATAAGTAAAACAAAGGGGTTTTTTCTGCTAGTGCTTAATTGTGGATGCTGTTAGCTGGATCCTTCAGACATGCAAAACTACATGCTTCTGGGAAAGTAAGTTTTGCTTGTGCCTGCAATGTTAAAGCCTTAGTTAGAAGAAGCACTGAAGCACTAAAGCAGCTGGGTGGCTGTTGTATACAAACTGCTGTGCAAATATCATTAGTAATTTCTATCGCAGTTGTATATGTCTGTTGGAAGCTTTAAATGCTGGGGGTTTATTGCCTTAGCTACTAAGAAAACAGGATAAATTCTATCAGGATCAGCTTTTACATAGCCTTTGGCAAATTGTTCCAGATAGTGTTTTATTGGGAAGGAACCTGTCATAGGATGAAAAATCTACTGTCATCTTATCAGAGGAACATAAAGCAAACTTAACCCAAAAGCATTGTGGTTGGTTGCCTGTGCCCT